AAGGAGACCATGAAGCTATACTCTTAAGTATGAACTTCTTTTCCTTTCAACACATGGTGTATCTGTCTTTTTGCAGTGGTAACATTGCAAATTGATGCCGAAAAACCTCGGTATGATTAACTGCTCAGAGACTTTTTCATCTTTAAGCAGCAAGGTATTTGTTTATTCAACATTGGGAGCAAGCCAGCTCACGCTGGACAAACTTGCTCGACCTGAAAGTGCAAAAGCAAGCAATTTTATACACTTCAGCTATATGGTTACATCATTTATCATACATATTAATAAGTAGATTAGTCTCTGGGCGGAGTCTTTCCAGGCATGCGCAGTCTTCTCCTCAAACCTTCATCTCTCTGGTGCGGTCGCCACAGATATCTTCCTTGATTTGACCTCTTCAATTTTCTTTGTTAGGTGACCTGAATTCTTGAAACTTGCAAAATCCTGGCTTTGGGCCTTCTGTATCTTATTCAAACGTCTGGTTTGCCTAATTTATTGCCCTGTGTATACTATTCTTATTCTTTCTATAATAAGGCCTTTGGTCCAGTGAGTAGAATAGAACATGATGTTAACCATGATATTAACCTAGTGCTCATAGAATGTTGTTCTAGCAAAATAGGTACTGGGGTTTCTTAGCAGGCCAAGATATCTCGGTTAACTCTTTTAGCCTCTTTTAGGCTCCCATTTCAAAATAAGGACTGTTCCAGGACCTACAAACTCGGGTTCAGGGGTTACTGGCCACCATCTGCCTGTTACAATCGCTGTCAGTGTGTACCTTACCCTTGCTTTGCCAGTTGAACTGTTCGTCTGATCGGCCACTAATTGTTTTCAGAAAATGGTCTAAATTGAAAAAGTAATTCTCTCATTATAATCTTTAAAAAGTAATTTTTTAGCATGGAATTTTTGACTGACCAGGTGTTCAGGATTTTTTGCTATTATGCAGAGAATCATCAGGTAGCTTGACTGCCAAAGACAGTGAAGCTACATCTAAGTATTCCTCAGGGAATTAATGTATCTTGTCAGCATACCTCTAAAATTACTGAGGGGCAAAAACCCAAAAAAATAGAGCATTCATTTAAAATTAAAGCCTGTATAATATTTAACCTTTCAAATTTTTTTTTGTTGAAAATTTAAGAGCTGAATGATAATTGAACTTAATGATAACTACATTTATTATAAAGACAATTAAAAAATTAAAGCAATGGTTCATACTCTCTAAACTTGAAAATTCAAACTTCAACTGTTTACTATTTTGCTGACTGGTGTATATTACAGCCTTGATGCTCTGAGCTTATTTATCCCATCAGCAGATACATGTTGCATGTTACTTTCCTCTGTTATCAAGTGTATGAACAGTATGAGTGTTAGAATATTTATGTATTAGCTCATTATTTCAGTGCTGTTAAAAATACACCTCTGTAGCACTTTTTAACATCAATTTCTTTCAGTTAATGTTTTCTGAAATAGAAACAGTATGTTAAAGAAGCCTTCTGTCTCTTGAAGGAGATTTAAACATCCATTTTGTATTTATGATCTCCAAGTTTCTGTGCATAAACATATATAAATTACAGTAAGATAATTAAAGGTAGACGATAAAGTGTATACAGCTACTATTTATGCAATGATAAGTACCACATCAGAATGTTTTCAGAGTTAGGTTCTTAATGAGGAATTAATTATGTAAAAATATTTTATAGATTTATATTGAAAAGTTTTAAAAGAGCTACTTCAGAACAGTTCTAAAGGCAGAAAATATTCAGTATAGTTCTGTTCTAAACATCAATTTACTATATAGTCTGTATTTAGTAAAGTAAGTAAATAAATCAATTTATGTACAGTTTGAAAACAAAATTAATTGAAGAACCTCATTATGAATAAAACATATGTTACAGGTAAGGTATATAGAATCATAGAATATGATGAGTTGAAAGGGACCCACAGGGATCATCGAAGTCCAACTCCTGGCCCTGGCATGGGACCACCCCAAGAATCACACCATGTGCTTTTATATGTCCCACCATATGTTATAGTTTGGGTTTCAAATACATTTGCAGCAGGAAAATTATCTTATTAACAGGTATTTCTACTATTGAAGGATATAATTCTATCTAGTTTTTCTGAATCTTTTGTAATATCTATTTCACTACTATTTACTTTCCAATTCCTGCAGATTGCTTCATTAAGAATCAGCATTTTAGCACTATTGGGAGTATTTGCATCAGACCATTTGCACTGTAAAGGACCACCTAAATTAACAGCACAAACTACTGATAATTAAAATTATAGTTTTAATTGTAGTGTAATTTCAGCATAATCACTAGTCATAACTACAGTATGCAAACCGTTAGTTAGAATTCAACAGAATAACAATAAAGTTATTAATTAATTAAAGCTATAATTTTTAAGGCATTATGTTTTCCAAACCATTAGGATCATAGTAGCAACATGCCATAGTCTGTTACCAAACAAAGGTACTTTCTGGTCGCTCTGGTGAGCAAGTAATGTATTAAACAGACCTACTAATACTTAACAAAATGTGAACTATGCCTCTGTTTTCATCCCATGCCAAAAGCTCAGTCTGGAACCCTCTGTATCCTTAAAGCATACAATTCCTTTATTTTCTCTAAAGGGAAATTCACATCTCCTTTGTATTCTGCCTCTATGTGGCTCCCAGTTAATGTGAGTTATTTCCCCTTGCTTGTTACATGACCTTTTATACCACCCTGCTACTCCCTTGCAGTAAACCCACCTGTCCATGGCCAGTAGCAGATTTCAGCTCCACGCATGAGGAGCAGAGAGACTAAAAACATGGAGAGTTCAACTATGCAGTTCCCAACACAAGTTGAATCTGCTCCTAACTGCTATTGGGCTTAGAAGAAAGAATACACTGGTGAGTACATGTTTGCTCCACCTGGGCCCCTCCCGCTGGCAGGACAAGCCCTACTTTTCATTCCCTAGTGGAGCCCAGGTCCTTTCTTTGCTGTTTCTGAGCTTAGGGCAGCTTTTCTCCTTCCCATGTGAGTTGCAGAAGAAAGAGGAGAATCATTGTCCCTTATTTGTGGAGACTGCGAGTAGTGGGCCTAAAACTCTTATGTTGTTACATAGAAATGAAACTTGCACTTTGTTTTTAAGTCATATTTTCTTCCCTTGACTTACATTTCTGATAATTTAATTATTTTTATCTTCTTTTCTTCTTGCAAACTTCTCTCTCCTCTTTTGATCTATTCAGTTTGGACTTATCAGTGTGTCTCATCGCTGTAAACAATGGGGAATATGCCTGCTGTCCTGTCATACCCTAATTATGATTAAGTAATGCATGTAGCTTTGTCACTAATATATTATTAATAATAATAATAATATAATTCAGAATTCATTTCCACGTATTTTTTTTGTTCACCCCCAGAGCTTAAAGGTCCTGTAATTGCTTTTATCATGACCGTGATTAGCTCTCAAACCCCTGTGGTAACACTCCTGAACAGTTTAACTGAGCTTTTAATTCTGCTGAATCCATTTATCTATCTGTAATGACTTTTGTCTCTTATAGTCTGTTGCTAACAACAAATTGAAGTATAAATACATATCTCAGGAGGTCAAAGACTATTAAAACAATTGATAAGTACTTCCAAGTGGGAGTGATAGTGAAGTTGTTCCAGAAACTATGTTTCCAAAGCCCAGGAGATATTAGTTTTATGTTTTAGGAACTTAATTTTTTTTCTTTGCAGTAAAAACTTGAGTTCACAAAATAAATATGCATTGATTGGCTAGAGAAAGATGTTTGTGTTTAGAACATGTGTCAAGTCATGCATTTTGAATTAGTCTTCAAAGGAACAAAATTGGTACTTGCTAAAATCATAAAATGCTGCTTTCTACATTTTTCTATGCAAACCCTGAGCAGCAGAACTGGCACAGCATCCTGCACTCTTCTGTCCCACTGCCCTAAATCTTCCATGGCCCAGTTACGTCCACTTCGCTCCACTAACACTTCCCAGCTACTGGCACGTCTCAGCTTATGTGGATGATATTAAGGTCATGAAGTCAAAGAGATAGCTTGGTTTTCCACCTGCTACCTGTTGAGTGGTATTCATGAAGCCTTTAGGAATTTATACTTTTGAGGTCTCTATCTCCTTTTTGAATGTGATTGGAATTAGCAAAGTGCCAGTGAGGGGGACAGATGTACCAAATGATTATGTGGGCCTTTAATTTTTTTTCTCGTAAACTGGAAGAAATGATAGCCAAACAAAGATTCACTGAGCTTCATCAGTAACTATCAAACCTTTATTCTGGGAACAAATGTATTAAGTTTCAACCGATTTATTTTTTTTTCAGAAAGCTAGAAACACAGGAGAACTTGCAAGTATCTCTCAGCTATATTAAGAGTACAGTAATATAATCTTTGATAGTAAGTAGGCATTTAAAATGCTAAATTTTGTTTCTTTTCAGGAACATCTGGCATGATTACAGAGCAACATGCAGATGAGTAGGAACTACGCCAAACTGGAAAAAGTGAGTAATGATAAGCACACCAACACAAACAGTACATGTTACAGAGCAGCTTGAAGAGTTGACATTGTAATGTCACATTTTGGCACAACTTTAAAAAGATTTTGTACGAAAATCAAGGACAGCAAAAAAGAAAATTCATTCAGAATTAGAGGATTTTTAAGAATAATAAAGCCTTGCTTAGTGCGAAAAAAGCATGGAATTGCTTTCAAATTTGAACTTTGAAATTAATTTGTGCCTTTGTCAAAAGCAATGGGGTCGGATGCACTCTAGTACTGCCGCTGGCCTCTGAAGGGGGAAGAGGTGAGCTGGTCTCGGCTCAGATGAGAGCTGGCGGTGCGGGAGGATCGGGGACATCTCTCCGTGCCCGTGGTGGGACGGGGTGGGGGGGGGACACCGGGCTGCTGGAGGCGGGAGCTGTGCCCGTGTTCGCCCCGCCCCTGGGCGGGGCCGCGGCGCGCGGGGCCAATGGGCGGCCGTGACCTGGCGCGCGGGGGTGGGTCGGGCGCGCGCAGGGCGGAGGTGTCCCCGGCGGCGCGGTGCCGGCTGCGCGTCCTGCTGCCGATCCCGCATCTCCCGGTCCCAGCCATGGAGCACTCGCAGGTTGCCATCATCGGCAGGTAACGCCTCTCCTCTCTCGCGGGTGGGGGAAGCGCCCGGCAGCGCTCGCCGCCTCTGGGGACGGATGCCCGCGGCGTGCGAAGGGGCTCGGACGCCGTCCCGGCACGGCCCGGCCTGCGGCGTGGTGGGTTTGGGGACACAGTGGCGGGTACGGCCCTGCCTCAGATGTCACCGCTGCTGCCGGCATGGGATGTGTCGGGGAGGTGGTGGGTCGGGGCAGTCGGTGGGTTTTGGCCAGCTGCGGGGTCGTGCTGCTCCTGGATCTCGGGAACCAGGCGGTGATGCACCTGTTGGGCTCCTTAGAGTGCCTTTGCTTAACGCCCCGACAACCCCGTGCTACTATAAAACAAACAGCAAAAAAACATACACAGCATCTCTACCGAAGTAAGTCATCCTTTAAGTGTGAAAGACTGGTGGCCTTTTTTATTGCAATGCTTTGTGTGCATAAGTGCAAGAGGAGTGGAGAAATCCAAGCACAGCTTTAACGTCCTATTTGTCAACTGTGTCAAGAAACTTCTAAGTTCCTCTAAGATGCTCCTGAAGTAATACTTAATTGCCACAAGATACAGCAATATTTCTGGCTTGTGTGGGAATGCATTGTTTCATCCTCTCATTGTGAGCTGAACCTGAAGTTCTTGAACGATGATCTGGAGGGGAGAGAAAACACATGCCAGACAGTAGCAGTCCGCTGTACCTTGGTGTAGAAGTGTGGGCTACAGCAAACTTCACTAACAAGACCACTTGAAGCCTCAAGACATGAGTCTCGGTGCTGTTGTGTGACACTGACAAAAGTGGCTCTTACTGTTGGCACTTCATAAACTTTTGTTCCCCGTGAGTGTGTGTGAAGGGTTGGGAAAGCTGGGCTCTTGCTCCCTGTGGCTGCTGTAGCAGTGTTGTAGTGAAGGCAGAAAATGTGATTCTGGTAGCACCCACAGGAGTTATGTGAGCAGATCTGGTCCTTAAGACTGTCTATCACTGGACTCAAAATGACAGTACTAAAGTTTCAAAAAGCACTGTCTTGGGGTCGAATATGCTAACATCAGGTTGTAATGATGTGGTTGTGTACAATGATGTAAGAGTGCAGGACTGATACCTACCATCGATTTATTTTGTGTTCTCTGTAATTCAAAAGAAAAAAAGCCCACGATCCTAAAAACCTGTATTGAAATGAACTTTTTTTCTGTTGTTTGTCAAACACTCTTTTAAGGAAACTTAGGAGTGCAATCTAGAGAGATGATGCAAGTTTATAAAGATACTGGCAGCTCAGATTTACTTGTTTAAGGCTTAAGTGATCCAAGTTTTATAAATGCTTATTAGCCAGGAGACTACAGTAGCTTACAAACCTTGACCATACCTTCCCTGTTCCATAAGTCTGTTCTGTAGCTTGCCTGAGAACTGATGAAGTCTGGACTTACTACAATGAAGTTTTGTGTTTTTACTTTTAAATGGTATGTTTTTAGTGAGACTTTACTGTCTGTTTAACAAGACTAAATACAAAGCTTGACTTTTTTTTTTTGGTCCTAATTATTTCCACTTATTCTTGCTATTTCCTGAAGCTTCCTGTTTTGATCCTTTTTTAAAATGTATACTTAAACCAAAGGCTGAACATGTTCTTCTTTTCTCTTCCTTCTTTTCTCATCTGTCCTGCTGCTTTATCTTTGACTTTTGTTCCCGTTTTAATCTTTTATTGATGCCCTAGCGGCCTTACGTTTTCCAGTTGCCAGAGATCACTTAAGTTTATTGCTGCAAATAAGCTGATCTTGAAAATGACAGGAAATGCATGTAATTATCAAAAACCCCACTGTAACAGTCATGGGTATGGAGTTCTGATCTTGTCTCTATTATGGATCTTTTTTTTCAATTTTTAAATTTTTTTTTTGTGATCTCAGGTTACTTAAGCTTGTGACACCATTTGGGGCTTCCATTTGAAAAGGCTGATGCCTGCTATACATCTAACTAAGTTAAAACCTGCATTGCTTCAAGAGACACGATAAAGTTGTCAGTTACTACAAGTTTCCTCTAAGTAGTGCTCAGTAATGTGTTTTCACCAAAAGATGTAGGCAGGCTGTTCCTGTGTGTATCCAGCATGTTGAAATGCTTCTTCTAAAAATAAAGGTAGTGCTAGAAGTGGCTAGATGGAAAAGCAGTATCAAACCCATGGTTAGGTGAGGTTTTTTTCCCATTTCATGTGCATATGGTACTTCCGAATTGCTGAGGGCCTGTGACTTCAGTAGCTGTTAGAGACATTTATTTTTTCTCAATATCAACTTATCTTTTAATCAAATATTGAAGAGTCCAAGCTCTTTTTTCCTTTTTGCAGTGCTTGCAAGACCTTCTTCCCCCAAATAAGTGCTGTTTTATGAATTGACTGATATTTATTTTTTTCTTTTCAGCGGACTCATTGGTCGCAGCTGGGCCATGGTATTTGCTGCTGGAGGCTTCAAAGTGAAACTTTATGATATTGCACAACAGCAGCTAACAAGTGCACTGGAAAATATTCGGTAGGTCACCTGACTTGAAATGACTGGGGTTGTAATGAAGTTGTGGAATTGCTGTAATTATGAATGAATAGCCATATCTTATTATGGGAGCATAGATTTTAAGCTTTGAAGAAGGCTTTAATTTAGAAGTACAGGTCCTTTTAAGATCAGAACTGTGTTCCCAAGTGTCACTGACACTTGTGAAGAGAAATTTAATTCTTAAGTAATTCAAGAGCTTAAGTTTAAATTCATTTTTGTTTAATTATGCTTACCACCATTAGGTTATTTGTAGGCTAAGTTTAAAAAATACAAACATAAGAGGTTTTGCATAGAAGGGCAACAAAAATGCTTTCAAAGTTTAAGTAGGTTAAAATGGATTGCTGAGGAGCTCTGCTACAGTTATTAGTATTTTATAACTAGAGTTTTTTAAACTCTTAAAGTAATATTTTTGAGTCTTAGAAGAACAGGTTACCACTTTCACCAAAGATACAACTACTAATCAGTTGTAGTTGAAGCTGGGAAGCATCTTTAGAGGGATAGCAAATTTGAGGGTGTGAACATGAGATCACTGGTTCAGGCCAACAGTCCTTCAGCCCTTTTCTCTTGCCCTGTGGCACTGTGGCTAAAGCCCCATGCTTTTCATATTACAAGAGCTACAAGTTCAAGTCTTACCTGTCTGCACCCTGCCCCCAACCTTCAGTGCCCAGAAGTTGTAACTCTTTAGTTAATGTATTCAGTAGCTCTTAACTAGATTTCTTCTAAGTATTTCTCTAACTGTCCCTTGAACCCATTTAAATCCTTCCATGGCCTCCTTGCCCAAGGACTTTGTGTTCTGCAGGTTTACTGCTTGCTGCATGAAGAGCTACTCCCTTTTGTTTGTTTTGAACCTGACACCTCAGTTGCTTTGATTGACCCCTAGTTCTTATGTTAGAAGGGACGGTGTCTGGTTGGTCGTATGCACCCTCTTCTTGCTGGTCCTCAAAATACAGCTTTTATATGCATGTGAGAGAGGGAGAGAGAGCATTTATCGAGTTGTTCTGTGCACAGCCTTGTGTTGCTTTATCGGCATTTAATGCTAAAGTTCAGATTGCTTCACAATCAGCATCAACCTAAATGCATCAACTCTCCCTTCTGATGCATTGTAGTGATGTGTCAGCTGATATGGGGTGTAAGGTACACCTAGAAAAGGGTTGTGGTGTTTTGCATCCTCATTTCTTTCTCTAACAAGGCTTAAAGCTAACAGAAATGACTTCAGGAACCCCTTGTAGGTCAGTTCAGTTGTTGGAATTCAAAAGCAAAGCAGTATGTGATATCTAGTGAGATTTGCTAAAAAAGGCTTGATAACAAAAGAAGAGGAAAATCTATCTCTTACTGGTTTTTTTTCTTTCCAGGTAGATGTTAGTCAGACCAAACATCTCTGTTGCATCCCTAGATGACAGACACTTTTGGTTTTTTTCACAACTGCTGTCATAGTAATAGCCATGATAAGATTCTGGATTATTGTGGAGGTGGCAGTTTTACTAAACTATGTTACTAAACTGTGTTACTATACTGTGTTACTAAACTATTTTACTAAACTATGTTTACTAAACTTTATGTTACTAAAGACAGCATTTGCCCCTAATTTTTTCTTTTTCTAATAACAAAATCATGGAATGAGGATTTTAGCCTTCCAAGGTTTTCAGCTTGAAAAAGTAAAGCATAAAATGTCATGCATATTACAATAGAGTACAATTTGAGTGGGTCTGTACTGTCCTGTGCCTACATGTGCTGTAGTATAAGAGTTGACAGAATCAAAAATGGGTAAGGTTGTAAGGGAACACTGGAAGTCATATAGCCCAACCTCCCTGCTCAAGCAAGGTTCCCTAGAGCATGTTACATCCAGACAGCTTTTGAATATCTCCAGGGAAGGAGATGCTGCAACCTGTCTGGACAACCTGTTCCAGTGCTTAGTCACCCTGACAGCGAAGAAATGCTCCCTCATGTTCAAGTGGAACTTTTTGTATTCCAGTTTCTGCCCATTGCCTCTCATCGTATTGCTTGGCACCACTGAGAAGAGCCTGGCTCCATCCTCATGGCACCCTCCTTTCAGATGCTTATAGACATTGTTTAGGTCCCCTCTGTTGTTTCTTCTTGAGGCTGAACAGGCCCAACTCCTTCAGCATTTCCCTGTAAGAGACATGCTCCACTCCTTTAATCACCTTTGTCACCCTCCGCTGGACCTCCTCCAGGAGCTCTGTGTCTCTCTGGTACTGAGGAGCCTGGGCACTCTGCTGGCTCATGGATGGCTTGTTGTCCACCATGACCCCCAGGTCCTTTTCCACAGATATGCTTTCCATCAGGTCAGCCCCCAGCCTGTCACTGGTGCATGGGGGTATTCCTCCCCAGACGCAGGATCCTGCATTTACCTTTGTTGAACTTCCGCTCTGCCCATTTCTCTAGCCTGCTGAGGTTCTTCTGAAGGGCAGCACAGCACTCTGGGGTATTGGCCACTATTCCCAGCTTTGTGTCATCAGTGAACTCTGTGGAGGCATCTACCCCTTCATCTAAGTCATTGATAAGTTCAAGGCAAGTTCAACTGAGCTCAAGGCAGGTTTTGCCTTTTATGTAAGGTGTTCTTAACTCAATTTATAATTAACTTGTGTATCTTGGCTGTTGTAACATTCTAGTTAAAAAAACGGGTCTCAGGACAACATAGTTTTTGTGTTAAGAATGCAAGCTATGCAGTTTCTTCAACCACTATTTTAATGATTGCATCTATCAGAATATGGTCAAACTTGAACTTCTTTGCACTGATTTCATAGCACACAACCTGCAGCAAATCACACTGAGTGCTACCTCCATGAGAGCTGGAGCTTCAGTAGTTAATGAGGGCTCACAGGAGAACAGCAGCTCCCATTGGAGCTGTCTGACAAAGCTAGCTGGTGACTACTTCTCTGGATTTGCTGTGATTTACTTTCCTTTTTCCCTCCAAATAGCTAATACTTTTGGGGAAGTTTTTAGGCTTAGAGGCTTTTGTGGTTTATTTTGTTTTAATATTACAATGTATTTAGCAGGAAGGTTTCCAAGCATGAACTTGTCAGTTCTGATGCCAAGATGCCAAAAAGGTTGGATGCCCTAACTCATTAGATGATAACAAGTGAATTTACTTAGGTCACTAGGTTTGGAGACAGCATTAGGGTTGATATTCAGAGAGCAAGAAGTGACTTGTAATGAGTTGCAAACTCTGATCAGGCTCTCCAGTATTCACAACACTGTGTTTACTGTGGAAAAACACAGCAACCTTAATTGCTTTTCCTGTTACCAAGTCTTTACTCTCGTTGCAGCACCCAGTTTGTGAAGTGCCAGTGTAGACATCCTGGGAGTGCTGTGGCTGGAAAACAGTTTGTGTGTGTGATAGCTTGAGGACATCTCAGAACTTTGATTGGTTTTATGCATCAACCCACTCTTATGGTGCATCCCAGCTCCTCTGTAGTCCTTTGCTTTGTGCCTCTTCAAAACTGTGTCAAAGGCAGATGTGCATCTGTCCCTCTTTAGTATACTGCTGTTGCTACAGGTGAAGTGCATTTGACAGCTCTGGATCTCTCTTGTCTGGACATAAACATACATACAGAGAGGGTAATCAGCCACTGGAATGGGCTGCCCAGGGAAGTGGTGGATTCTCTGTCCCTGGAGGTTTTTAAGATGAGGCTGGATGTGGCATTTAGTGCCATGGTCTAGCAACTGTGGTGGTAGTGGATCAAGGGTTGGACTTGATGATCTCAGAGGTCCTTTCCAACCCGTCTGATTCTGTGATTCTATGATTCTATGATTTTATACTTTAGTGATTCAGCTTGTACTGCTGTTTCAAGAAGACTTCATGTGTGATGACTTTTCCGTGGTGATGTGTTGTGTGTTTGCCTTTGGGAAAAGCAGGAAGAGGAAAGTGGTTGCTAATGCTTTCAGATAGCCAATTGCAACAGAGTGAAGTCTTGTGCTGTGTGCTGAGGACGTGGCTGCAATGACCTCAGTCTCTGGTCATCCGAGGGACGAGCCCTTGAATAAAAAGCCATCCACTAGAGGTCAGTGGTGTACCGTTGTATGTACAAACTGGTCTGGTTTCTGCCTTAATATATAAGTATCAGGGAACACTCTCTTCGTTTTCCCACACTTTTGTGGCAATCTAATAGCCTAGAGGAATACAAAGATGGTTTAGCATTTAGAAGACTTAAAATTCATTTGTGAAACAAAACAACCAAAATGCCAATAAGTATATTGTCAAAAGGTGCCAAAGAACAGCATTTCCTGGGAAGGAAAGCCAAAATTAAAGTAAAGCACATATTCCCGATAACTATACTAATTTAAATAAATAGCTAACATGAAGATTGGTGATATTAAGAGGGAGATTTTTGTTGAGGAATAAACAAAAATCCAGCCTTAAGTTGCAAAAGATAAAGATGGTGATTTTGCTGATCAGTTAAGAAATGTCATCAGTGCACAGTGTAGTGTGTAATGGCTTATGACAGAAGGAGAAATGACAGGATGGTTATCACTGGCAGAGAAGGAAAGATATGGAACAGGAGACAGGTGTTACAAACTTCTGTGAGAGCTTGAGGAAGAAAAATAAAAGCTTGGTCTCTTAGTCTATACCTCTAGCTTTTTTGAATCAAGGGTTACCAATCATGTACTGTTACTGTGGAGAACCAGGGAGGATGAGACAAATGTTGTGTTGCATAGATGCTGAATAATAACTTGACCCCCTTCTTCAAAGAAGGAAGTAATTCTGTTGTGGTCTCTTCAACCTTAAGTTTATTTGGTTGGGTTTTCTTGGGTTTTGGTGTGGGGTTTTTTTTAAGCAATATATATATCCTGTGAACAAGAGTATGCTGGATTTGGGCAAGAGCAACTGGAAAATGGTCTTCTGACAAATGAATAGTTAAGACTTGAGTTATTGGCTCCTTATCTTGCCTCACAAGGTGTGAGGTAGCCTTGTGAGGAGTTTGGATACTCTAGCTTAGGTGCACCATTTCTTTACAGATGAAGCACTGGCACCTTTAGTGTGCTAGAAACCTTAAGTGTTGGGTGAAGTTTCTGCCTAGCAAGCTGTGGTGTATATATCCTGTGACCTTGGGAAATGGAGCTGAATATTCCTGCTTCCTATTCCTTGCCATGCAGATTGCTTAAGAGGTAGAAGTCTGTGCTTTTCAGCCATTCATTTGCTGTGTCAGTAAGAAACTAAATGGGGAATTCCTCCAGACACTTGATGGATTTCCTACTGATTTCTGTGGCTTTGCCTAGGGAGGTGTGTGTGCTTGAGCACATTTTATTAATATTCTTTTTCTACCTTGAAGTGCTCTTAAACAAAATTTATGAAAAGGAATTTCTGACTACTTTAGCTTTGGGTAGGAAAGGTCTAGGTTTTTGAGTCTATACCCGTATTTGAGAAAAGAGGCAGAAAGATATTTATGGAACTCTTCATCACTTTTAGATGGCATAAATTGGTGAAAATAATTTTAGTACCAAGTTTAAGGGACTTCAGGGAAGCAAACAGGACAGACCTGAGCAGTGTCTAAAAAGCATATGATTCTTGGCTTGGTTTTCCAGGTAAGAATTAATTGATCCTTTTCAAAGCTCTTGTCCAATCTAAACGAAATGCAATGTCTAATGGTTTACTGAGGTGTGCTCTGCCTAAAAGAGTAAAAATTCATTGTCCATGATCATCCACGACAAAAATAAAGAGGAAGTATTAGAACTTGCAGTACGGAAATGATTAGTTGGAGTTAATTGCTGAAGAGATTCATTGAAGAGGAGAAAGTTACTGCTGGTGCAAGTTAGCACTGTGTGTGTGCATGCGTGTGGATATTTGATGGTGGTGGTTTTGTTCTTTCCAATCTGGAATATAGGTGTATATTCTGGTTTGTAAGGTGTACTTCAACAGAACGTTAAACAGAGCCTCTGTTGACATCTTACCTGCTTCCAAGTTATTTGAAATGCTTTGATTTTAATGTACAAAGTCCATAGTGATCTGAAGGTATGTGATTTTTGGTGGGGCTGCTCCCAGGATAACATATTGCTGCAAAGCTATTTTGTTTGCTGGGAAACAAATGTTCTCTTTTCTGATACTTGGTGTGGGAGAACGGATATCAGAATAACTTGCAGAGCTGTGGGTGTTTATAACCTCTTAATAAAGCCATGATAAAACTAGTAGAGCCTATATTTGCTCCATTTTCTTGGATACAGCACAACGACATGGATGCTGAAGTAAAATTCTGATTCTTTGGAGTTTATTGGTAGATACAGTGAGCCAGTTCAAGCTAAAGATCTGAGGGCTCAGTGAATCTTGGCTGAGGTGTGACTTGCTTCTATATAGTTAAGTAGGAACTGGATTGCCTTTAAATAAATCCCAGCAAACTTTCATCCTTGACTTCAGAATACTATGGTCTAAATTCTCATTCTGAACTATATTCTCTTGGGGTGGAAAATAGGTACTTCCAACGTAAGACAAGATGGATTGCCTACTTGGATGTCTGAAAAAGATCAGACAAATGCACCTGAAACAGTCGTTCCTTCTCTGAAAGAGACCTGAAGATGATTGTCTCAGGTGTGCATTTTGTCAGAGTAGGTGAGATGAATTGCACTCGTTTTGTTTAGGACAGTCTGGAGGTGGAAGCTTAATATTTTCATTTGATCTATGTCAACAATACTTGTTGAGAGGAAAGATTTCTAAATAAAAGGATGGTTTGACAAAGTGTGAGTGCATTATTACACATTGCTCAGCAGGTGGTCTGAAAGGTGTAGAGAGAAAAAGAGGCAGTGTGATCTAAGTCCCTTCTCAGTTCACTTAAATGCTGCTTGAAAAGTGTAGACAACACCTCCCAGAGCTTCATAAAGCAACTGAGATCTGAGATCCAGTTAGGATCACTGTCTGTGTGTTTAGGATTGCTGGTGGCTGCAATGGTGTCATGGGCGGGGAAGGAGGGGGGAGGTGAGGAAGGTCTGCCCCAGGGTGTAAGTGAAGGAGCTGTACTTGAGAAGTAGCCTGGGGCTGATGTTTTCCTGACCCTGGGACTGGGTGCCTGTCCTGCTTCGTAAGAACAGTGTCTGTCTCTGGCTGCTGTAGATTGTGACAAACATGTATCTCCTCTGAGGTCTCTAGGTACAAAAGTAAATTCAGTGTTACTGTCTGGACACTTGGAGGGAACTGGGCAGGTGTATTAAGGTCTGAGGTGTGACTGGGAGTGGAAATTGTCTGGGCCGAAATAACTAAGTTCTGGCCATTTAATGTGTTCTGTCCTGTAAAGCTCCTAATGAAGACTGTCATGTGTTCTTCAGTGCCATAGTCACTTAAGAAACACACAATGGATCACTGGTTATTTCTATATTCAGTTATGATTTGTGTAGTACAAAAATACACTTTTTCTATACAGTTTTTTTAATCATTACAGCTTTTCTACCCTCTAACCGAGTGGCAAGGGCAGTTTATTTATCGTGTAAAAAGGCATCCAAAAAGAAGCCAATGCTTCAAAACTAGGTTGGTAGGGAGAATAAAGGGTTTTTTTTCCCTGCTGCTATTCATTAGTTCAATTTTCTCCTGTATTCAGGATGAGCAGTTTTTGCTGAATAATAACCAAAGGCTCAGAGGAATTCTGGCTTGAGGTAACTGAACAGATTTAAGCATGATAATGACTACAGCAAAGACCTTTAGGTTGATTGCAATCAGACAGTTTAATCCCAATTAGTTTCTGTGGAAATTTTTCCTCTAAGTGACTTATAATGGTTTTGAAAAATGGCTGGCTTGCTCTGGATGTTTGAGGGCTTCAGACTGTAGAGACTTTTACTGAGAAGGTAAAAGCAGTGTGTGTAAAAGTGAAGGTAAAAGCCCTAGTAGTGGTGTGTACTCAAACATTCATTTCAAGCTTCAGCCACTCAATTTAAGAAGTACTTGAATTTTTTGACATTTTCTCTGTTAGTTACATATTAAAAAAACCCCTTGTAGTGATACAGCTTTTTAGGAAGGACTCCTGGCTGCATGGAATGTATTTATTTATTTCTATACAGTTAAAGAGCTGTTCCTACAAAGAGGCAATCCTGCATCTAGGAGTAGATCTTAGAGCTGCCTCTACTTGAAGAGAAGGAAAAGAAAACCTTATAAAAGGGGGAGCAAAGAGAAGCCACTGAAATTAACCTTTATATTTTTGAGTATGAATATATGCAGTGGCATTGCAAATAGCATAGTACTACTGGTTTGTTAAGAAGCTTTCTAAAAAATTAATGTTGGCTTAACAATTATAAAGTATTTAAATGTGTCTATGTTGTTTCTGTCAGCAAACAAATGAAAGAGATGGAGAAGTTGGGATGCCTGAAAGGATCTTCTAGTGCGGAACAGCAGTTTGCTCTCATTAGCGTTTGTACAGACCTGAAGGCAGCAGTAGAGGGTGCTACTTTCATTCAGGTAAGCAAAAATTTGCCAACTTCTAGCAAGCAGTTCAGAAAGATGATCAAAAGCTGTGCTATGTTCTTTCTAACCTTGTATCCTGACATGGGAGATCATGCCTCTTTGCAGGATTTCCTACTCAAGACTCCTTGCAAGTTTCTTCTGAGTTATGTTGGGAGAGGCTGGCAACTAAGCTGAGAGGGAATTGCTGCCCTCCATGTGTAAAAGACACTGTACCTGTTAGAAAGATGAATGTAAGGTGCAGTTGGGCAGGAGATTCTTGGGAGAGAAATTATCTCTTAGGGATCACCACACATTCTAGAGCTGAAACTAAAACATGTTTCTTCCTGTCCTGGTACCTAGTGAAGGCAGGGAATATGACTATGTCTGTGCTACCTTCTATTCTGACTGTGAAGGGAGTGCTGTAGCTAAACACAGGTATCTCAGAGTGTTAGAGTATTAAAAACAGAGTACATATATAAGTTTGAAATGTGTGCTGCTAAGTAAAATTGGAATGGGAAACAGACTGAAGTACTAGACCTGATAGTTTGTGGCTGCTTACCTGTTAATATGCTCACTGGATTAGGCATAGTTTTGGTGATAAGTGAATCTGAGACCATTTCTGAGATAAAGTATGGATGAGTTTTCATTAGGATTGGCGTCTTCTACCCTGCGTGGTCCCCCAGTATAGTTCCAGTGTTGTACCATTAGCTGTCCCTACGTGTATATGTGCTGCACTCAAGAGTTTACAAATTACACTCTCTCAGTAAATCACATCGTCTGTTTAGCTCCAGCACAACCCTAATATCAAATCAAACTGAAAGGGGATAGACTTCCAGACCTTCTCTTCCTCACAATTTAATGAGGTGGAGGAGAGAGAAGGGGAGACAGGGCAAAGCTTCACATGGAAGTCAAGATGTGAATGTACTCCAGATTTTTACAGTAGTATACTGTTTTGTGTTCACTTCCTTTTCTCTGTATCATGAAACTATATACTGTTACCCCAGTATCTTACTCTTTCATCACTAATGAGCTCAGAACTTGTCAGTTCGTACTGTTATATTCACGTATGTATTGCCTATTTCTACTGAGTTTAATCTGCAAATTTATTGTTTCACTTCTGTAAAGTCCTTCTGCAAATGTTTGTGGTTGTAATAATGATGGCCAACCTAAATTTTATGAGCTAACTTTCAAGTCATTTATGAATGGATGTAACAAAGGGCACAGATATCTGTGAAACAGCACTGCCCAGCATATTCCAGTGAGTAAGAACTGACTGTTCTTCCTATCTTCTGCTTACTCTCTCTGTACAAGTTACTGTCCATTAAAGGATCTTTTGTCTCACGTGTGACCAGTTAACTTCATTGAAAGCTTTTAGTATTTTTTGTTGTAATACTTCTGGGTGTTCACACAAACAGCATCCGCTACATGATACCTGTGCTTGTTGCTTCCTTCAGAAAATTCTACTAGGTCTGTGAGTTGGGACTTCCCTCCATATTGTTGCTCTTTTCTTCTCTAATATTTCTTCTCTTTGATTCTGCTTCTAATTTATGTTATACTCATTTGGTGCTACCTTTTTCTCTTAACTTGCTTGATAAAGACATAAGGCTTACAGGCCTACTGGTGAGATCTTTCCTGAAGTTCCCTTGGAATTTGCATCATGATTACCACTCTTCTCTTTGGTACCAAAATACTGTACATTCAGTTTTGTTTCAAGTGAGTGGTTGTATATCATTGTTACTGTGTTGGGGATTTCAACAATATCAAAACATGCCTCAGTACCTTAGTTCTGGTTCCACCCTCCTCTGTTCTATACCTTCAAATTCTTTCCATTTCAGAGAGACTCTGGGAGTCTGCAATAGTTAAGGCTTCAGTTTTCTACAAGGATTAGAAGGCAAAACAGAACAGTTGCAAAGAAATCACTGTTCTGTGTGTATTTTCCAGATGATCCTTCTGTGCTGTCATCTTTTGGTCCTATGTATTCCTCTCTGTGCATTTTGAAGAAAGAAGAGAAAACTTTTTTTTAAGTTAATTTATCTGTAAATTGTAAAGGGGTGCCTTATTTTCACAAATTAACAATCCTATGTGGCCATGTCCATTTGAATACCACATCAACTTTGGGAAGGCTGCCTTTCTGGTTTCCAGTGCTCTTGTAGTTCTTCTCATTTTCTTTTGCTCTTTCAAGCATTACTTACTATCTGGTTTATCTGTATGGCGTCTTTACTTTCTCTGTATGCTACCTGTACAGATCTGATACTTCTTAATGCTAATTTTGCATCTCTTTAGCATCCTCACTTCTTTTTACCATCTTCTTTTGAAGCTGAACACAGCTGTGGTGGAGTTCTTGGATCTTATTGCTCCAACAGAAATGTTTAGTCCAATGCCATTGGTCCTGTTAGAGAGGGTCTTTGGCAGTCGTATTTTTGAACATACCACTTCAGATTAAATCAAGAGCAGTATCCTTTCCCACCACCATCAGTTGATCTATGAAATGGGCATCAAACAAATGTTGCAAAATCAAAGTAATTTTGAGTTGGAGAGAACCAGTGGAAGTCATCTGGCCCAACCCGCTCACATCATCTTGCTCAGGATTTGTGCAGTTGAGTTTTGGATAAACACTTCTGGTCTCTTTGGGTAACTTGCTACAATGTTAATTACCCTCATTGTGCAACTTCTTTCCCAATATTGAATTGGAATTTTTCTTCTTGCAACTTCAGTCTCTTGCCTCTTGTCCTACCACACGGACCTCAGAGAGTCTGTGTGTTCCCTTCAGGTAGTTGAAGACAGCAGTGCTGTGTTGATAGTCTCTGAACAGCAACATTGTACCTCGAGCTGTTCAGTACTATTTTATGTTCCCTTAGCCCTCTTGATGTCTCTTAACATATAGTTGTTATGTATATAAATAAAAATAAACTAAATTGCTGCAGTATGCCTATGGATAACAAATCGTACATGTGCAACATGGTTGGCACTATTTATGTCAGCTCATCAAACCATAGCATTAAATTTTAGTTTGATTCAAAGTGTTAACTAATACACAGTGGAAGTGGGCAGGCAACTTATTTGAACTAGTCTTTAATATTCTCTTGAAAGGAGGGTGGTGGAATAGAATGAAAGAATCTTAATCCTAGGCTCACGGCCTTATTTCAGCAACAAGCAGACTACTTTCTGGCTGAACCATATTAAACTCCAGAAACATTGCCTAGCACAGCTTTTAACCTGGAAGGATAAAATGTATTAATAGTAACTTATGAATGCAAGTGTTCTGACTTTGGTTACTTAAAAAATAAAATATTGGTTGCATTATGTTAGTTGACTATAGAAGACTAAATTTTCTTACTTAATGGTATAACTTACTGATTAACTTGTTAGAAGACTTCCATGAGAACTACATTTCTTTACCCTGGATTTCAGATGGTTAAATCTTAACTTCTTTTCAGATTTTGGCCTTTGTAGAGTAAGTCTACTTCAAGCTTTAAAAATTTTCTTGGATGTTTGCACTCCATGAATAAAGTCTTCAGACAGTTGCCTTCTTTGTAATTTTCATGGGACATAACACAGATGGGATGATGAAGTAAAAAGTGGAACTTCTTAAATTCTATTAGTGAAGATATAAAAGTGAAAAAGGTGCAAGAAATTATTAGAAGGACTGAGTAAGAAGAAAATTTGTAACTGTAATGTCATGAACCTTTAAAAACAAAGTGTGCCTCAATGTGTATTTTTATATATTCCCTCTCCTGACATTTTCATGAAGTAACTTGTCTTGAGTAGTGTGCTTTGCATCAACTTCAGAATGAAGTTAGTCCATATTTTACTCTCAACCTGAGTATTCACACAGTTTCAGAACTTTTCTGTGCTACTTAAAGTGCATGACGTGCAGTATTTAGGTGAATGTACACTGCAGGCTCTTGTACCACTAGAAGCTTTAATTCTGAAATAAGTTTTCCATCAGCTGAAAACACCATGAGACAAATAAATGGATATGTTTGTACTGTAATGTCCCTGGCACGGGACTATCATGGGTGAGGTAAATGTTCCTTAATATTGTTCTCTTAGCTTTCCTGCATAAATATGTGATGACTTTTGCCTTTTATTCTTGTGTGACTACTGGGTACTGAACATCTTACTATGTCTTTCTATATTAAAACCACCTTTAAGTGCATGTGTGTCTATTTTCTAAATAATATAAACTGAATAGAAGTCAGTGTATGATCTCTTGCTGCAGCAGTAGTAAAACAAAAGCACAAAACCAGCTAAATGGAACAGTTTACTAACTGAATAATAAAGTTTACTGGCTCTCAGAGGAAGATAAGGTGACTAACTATTGGTGAGATCTTACTCTTGACATCTGAGCTGCTGTGTATTCTGGTGAGTTGTGAGGATTGGTTGGGCTAGTTGAAGATGGACATAGGAGGTGGCTGAGATGTGTGCTCTAAACCCATCAGTTGTGCTGTGGCATGGGACCGAGCAGACTGGCCAAGGGGATTAAATTAAACTTTTAACTTATACCTTGTGTTCTGGAGGTATTTATCCTTTTTGCTTTTAAAAGAACTCTGCCTAAAAGCCTTTGAACAGTATCTTTATCTCCTGCCCCCCCCCCTTTAAAAGGAGAGGGGTGCGTGTGTGTGGGATGGTGGGGGGGGGGTTGTATCCCATTACACCTGCAGACTCTCTTGAGCTGGTCATAACAGCACTAATATAGATCTTCAACCTGGTATCTCTTAGGTACTGGAGGCTCCTTCGTCTCTCCCAGTTAGACATATTTAGAAAAACAGTGTTAACAGCTTTCAAAAAGCCTAGTGGTGCCTCAGAATGCAAAACCACCATTGACTTTGGAGCTTTGACAATAGGTGTCTCATGTCTCTGGTCAAAAAAATTAGTTTTTCACTGTCTGGTACCAATTTCTACCCCTAGCTTTTGTTTTGCTTTCCTAATGGCTTTTCAAGAACCCCTTTACTTCTGGGAATAAGGAATTAGCTCTAGGCAGTGGGTGAAGATGTCTTCAGCTGCCCTGAGTT